CACCATATTTAACATAATGTGCTTCAATCTGGGGTAACTACAGAACAATAAAGTGTATGTAGAGTTTTCTGATCCGGTTTTGGCTCCGAGTTTAGTTTTGTTTAGACCAGACTGAGACCTTGTTTAGTTCCCGACTTCATTAAAAAAGGTAAACAGGAGGTCCCATGTAGCCTGCTAGTGTTTTGAGCGTAGAGAATATCTGGATGTTTATCATTCTGAGCGAGTACCGAGTTTGCGTTTCAACATCACAAACCATTATCATTCTAAATCTGCTGTTCTCAAACTTTCCACACCAACACCACTGAATAAGATAATATGTGGTTTTCTGAGCATAAACAAGATCTAAACCAAGACTATATCAGATCTAAATGGGCCCATGTGACGCATTTTCTGATCCGCAGTATCACAGAAACACAAACAGACCTGGAGTTGTGTTCAGTTTCATAACACACAAACCCTGCATAATCTGTGTGTCATTCATTCATTTGTTTTTCAAAATAAAAGATAAAAAATAAAAGAAAACGAAAAAAGAACAACTGTATCTTCTTCATTATTTGTCTCCAAAACCAAAATGAAAAAAACAGATAATGATTCGTTTTTTCAGTTTTTCATTTTGTGTTTAAATGGAAAATGGAAAAGCAGATAATGGACTAAACAAGGACTAAACCAGGTCCGGGACCAGACCGGGACCAGACCAGGACAAGACCAGGACTGAGACCAGAACCAGACCATGACTGAGACCAGGACCAGACCATGACTGAGACCGAGAGACCGAGATTGAGACCGGGACCAGACCAGGACTGAGACCAGGACCAGACCAGAACTAAGACCAGCACTGAGACGGGGACTGAGACCGGGACCAGACCAGGACCAGGACTGAGACCGGGACCAGACTGGGACCAGACCAGGACCAGACCAGTACTAAGACCAGCACTGAGACGGGGACTGAACCAGGACTGAACCAGGTCTAAACCAGGACTGAGACCGGGACCAGACCAGAACTAAGACCAGGACTGAGATAGGGACCAGACCAGGACCAAACCAGAACTAAGACCAGGACTGAAACAGGGACTGAGACTGGGACCAGACCGCGACTAAGACCAGAAATGAGACCAGAAATGAGGCCAGGACTGAGACCGGGACCAAGACCAGGACTGAGACCAGTTCAGTCCTGGTTCAGTCCGGCATCTCAGTTTAAGTCACGTAAACGAGAAACGTCTGTAATCTTTTTTTTTTTCCATTTTTCATTTAAACACAAAATCTAAAACTGAAAAAAACTAATTGTTATCTGTTTTTTTCATTTTGGTTTTGGAGATAAATAATGAAGAAAATAGTTGTTTTTTCATTTTCTTATTTTTGGTTTTATTTTGAAAAGCGAATGAACGAATGACACACGAATTCAAAACACAACTCCAGGTCTGGAACTGCCCATCCCCACTGAACTAATGGTAAAACGAGCTGTTGATTTGAAAACTTCATGACATCACAAGGTGGAGCAGAGCATTTTGAGCTTTGGAGATGTGGACAAACTAATCATAAAGAGTTACTCAAACGTGTGAATGAAACAAAACACAATTCCAGGTCTGTTTTTTGAGGAGACAACAGGTCGTCTCGTGCAGCTCGCTAATAGAGAATAAATGTGTGCATGTGATTCTGATTCTGAGCGTGTATCGAGTTTGCGTATTCATTTGTGAGTAAATTGCATCGGTAGATTAAAGAGCGTTTCAGATTCTGGTCACTTCTCGGGCTCAGATCCAACAGTAACTCCGTTTGAACAAATATTTAGAGGATTGGAGCCGAGCTGAGATGACAAAGGACGGAGCGTAATATCAGAGACGGATCACTGTTACTGGAGCCGCTGCAGCGTTTATGTTCACCATTTAGACGAAAAAATGAAATAAGGCCAAGAATAAGACTAAACCAGGTCTAAACCAGGTCTAAGCCAGGTCTAAATCAGGTCTAAACCAGGTCTAAACCAGGTCTAAGCCAGATCTAAACCAGGTCTAAGCCAGGTCTAAGCCAGGTCTAAGCCAGGTTTAACCCAGGACTAAACAGGTCTAAAGCACCTTTCTACACACACTGATCGCTGTTTACCAGGAACACCCCACAAGAACTAAACCAGGACTAAACCAGGACTGACCAGGACTAAACCAGGTTTAACCCAGGGCTAAACTAGAAAACTCTACTAAACCAGGACTAAACCAGGACTAAATCAGGACTGAAATAGAGATAAATTAGATCTAAACCAGGACAAATTAGTTTTAACTCAGGACTAAACCAGATCTAAACCAGGACTAAATCAAAACTAGACTAGATCTAAACCAGGACTAAACCAGATCTAACCCAGGACAAACCAGGTTTAACCCAGGACTAAACTAGATCTAAACCAGGACTAAACCAAAACTAGACTAGATCTAAACCAGGACTAAACCAGGTCTAAACCAAGACTAAACCAGATCTAAACCAGGACTAAAGTCTCCAGTCTTGACATTGTCACTTAGCTTTTGTAAACCAGGTCTAAACTAGGATTTTACAAGGTCTAAACCAGGTCTAACCCAGGTCTAAAACAGCCAGAACTAAACCAAGAATAAACGAGGACTGAACCAGGACTGAAATAGAGCTAAACTAGATCTAAACCAGGTCTAAACCATGTCTAAAACAGGTCTAACGCAGGTCTAAAACAAATCTGAACCAGGAGTAAACCAGGCCTAAACCAGGTCTAATCCAGGTCCAATCCAGGTCTAACCCAAGACTAAACCAGGTCTAAAACAGGCCTAACCCAGGTCTAAAACAGGCCTAACCCAGGTCTAAAACAGGTCTAACCCAGGTCTAAAACAGGCCTAACCCAGGTCTAAAACAGGCCTAACCCAGGTCTAAAACAGGCCTAACTCAGGTCTAAAACAGGCCTAAACCAGGTCTAAACCAGGTCTAAACCAGGTCTAAACAGATGTAAAACCTCCTTTTCTTAACGCTGACCGGTCTAAGACACATTCTTGAAGTATGCAGTGATTAATATTTCAGTCACAGTTTTCGCCGAGCCCGCTGAGGTGTCAGATCACATACTCCTTACCCACAATGCTCTGGGGCGCTCATTATTGTGAAGGACTGGAGTCTGTTATTTAAGAGGAAGTGCTCCAAACAGGATATCGATCGAGACCAATCAGAGCGCGGGCGAACGAGACACAACAGCAAAACATACGGGGAGAGAAAGTGATTCAATCCAGAGGCAACAGCAGTGGATTTATACAGAGGATTACCTGCGCTCCACTGCAGAAATGAATATATGTATGGAGAGAAGGGACGTGAAAAGAATCAAAAATCAAACACTAATTGATATTGAAACTAATATCGAAACTATATCCTCATTTTTCGCAAATATCGATACAAAAAAGTGCCATTGACAGGACAGAAATGAGCCTAAAGAGGAGGTATTCTGCAAAATCGATTTTCTTTAGCTTTATCCTCCATGTTATAACGTTCCCTCGTCAAAAAAAATGCCTAAAGAGGTTTTAGACCAGAAATGGGCAATTATTTTTTCCACAGGGCCACACGAGAAAAAGAGAAAAGTACTGTATTATCGAGGGCTGGTGTGAGATAGTATTTTGACCCCACTATAGTAAAGTGACTCCCCTATAGGATTTTGACGCCCTTTATTTTATTTTTTTTTAGTAGTTACTTATCTGATCATTATTTCTCATGTCATTTACTTTTATTATATATTTCTACGTATTCACTTTCTTTTAAGGTATTTTAAGGAATGTTTTGATGCATAACGACTTGGTATTTTGTGTAAATGTAACGTGTTGTTAAAATTGCATATAAATAGCAATCTTGTCACTTTTTATATTGTATTTTACATTGTTATGGTTTTTAGTTTGCTCTGTTCAGATAATCCTTCATCATAATGTCAATCTAGGCAATGGTTTGTAAAAATAACAACCTCGAATTTAGTAATGTTGTGTTATAATAAACATATTGGGGGTCAGATTACTATAGTCATAGGATTTTGACCTTTTATATATAATTGATCATTGTCAATATTCAACCAACATTACTTGTTACTTTACATCATAATAACTATAATAAACATATTGGGGGGTCAGATTACTATAGCCATAGGTTTCCCCTGTTTAACTACTCAACTGATCAGCCCTGTTTATTTAAACAAGATTCCAAATTATTATGCATCACTTTGTTTACCGAACTAATTAATAACTACTTATCTAATTTTCAGTAAAAGATGTGTTTAAACAACTAAGTCATTTTTAACATTCAAAAGTTATAATCAACATACAAAAATGCATCTGAGTTCTTCAAGAAACACTTTTATGTGAATATGTTTTCATTTGCAGATGTAGTATTAATATTCAAATTTTTTCTATTAGAAGTCAAGTTCTTATTAATAAAATATAGATTTTCATAGGGGGGTCAATATTTTATAGGGGCCCGGGGTGAGAATCCTATTATGGTATGTTGACCCCGGGGTCACCTCACCGCGGGGTCAAAATCCTATACCATACCGAGCCAAAATAGAATACATACATCCCGAATTTCAGAGTTCTGGTGTGGTATTTTGACCCCACGGTGAGGTGACCACCTAAACCATGTCTAAACCAGGACTAAACCCGGTCTTGACATTGTCATTGAGTTGTTGTTAACCAGGTTTAAAGCAGGACTAAAGCAGGACTAAACCAGGTCTAAACCAGGTCTAAACCAGGTCTAAAACAGCCAGACTAACCACGGTCTAACCCAGGACTCACTCAAGACTAACCCTAACCCTTTTACCTCAGTAGATGTGGTACATTTACTTTTTTACTTGAGTATTTTTATTTATTTTATAATTTATTTATTTATTTTTGCACTTTTGTTCCAGTATCTATACTTTTATTTAAGTGACAAGACTTCTTCCAGTACAGGGGGAAAGGGTGGAGGGGGGTCCTTTTTCTGTACATTGCTTGACCTGACCTGATAAATAAATACATTAAAAAATCTTCACTCACCAAACCTCTTGCGCGTCCACCAGTGCGGCTCTTTAAACATGGTGAACTTGACCTCGGGGTGCAGCCTGAGCCGGTCGTACAGGTCCGTGGTCCCGCATTTGGGTTGTCCGATGATGTAAAAATACGGAAGACATCTCAATCTGAACCACCTTCCCTCCCTGTTCAACAAATGCTCCCGTAAAGAACCACGGAGCTGCTGGAAAACCGCCCGGAAGCGCCGCGAGTATCGTCCGTAGAAGTTGTTTTGGTAAGGGTCCGAGCTCAGGTTGCCGTGGTATTCCTGGTACCAACACGGATTCTTCAGACCGGGAAGGAATCTCCGAGGGACCACGGAAAATAACTGGAAAATACATAAAAGATTTGTGTTATTATCATCAGAGGAGGCTGTCAGTTAACTAGTTAAAAGGTGCAGTGCGTAACATTTCTGGTGGAGGGTCCGTCACCTGCTTGTCTTCACTGAGAAGTTTTTGCTTTGTCTAGAATGTTCCACAGTAGAGATTAAACCTGTTTATCCCAAGGGAAACAACTATAGGCTACATTACAGGTCAGATCTATGGAGAGGCGCCCTATTCACAAATGCATTTTTAAGCAATAGAAATACTCGTAATGAATAAATGCTAGATAGATGTGTTTAATGTCATATCACGGAACATTCCCGGCAAAGCCATAACATCTCCACAGAGACCAGCAGGTGACAAAGCCTCCTCCTGAAAAGCTGCGCAATGCACCTTTACGGTTAAAGTTAAAGTTAATTAGTGTGCAAATGAAAGACTGAATAAAGAACTAGACTGTGTGTGAGTGTGCGTTCAGTCAAGTGAAGCTCATCGAGGCTGCAGTTATAGGAGCAAATCTGGAGCTGGGTTTCATATTAATTTATATTTATATTCACAGTCTATGTTAAAAATCCAAGATAAAACTCAAAATTAGTAATCAGAACTTAATTGTATAGATTCTAATACTCCACTTTGAATCTAGATACCGTATTTTCCAGGTTATTAGGCGCTCTGGATTATAAGGCGCACTGTCATTAAATGATCTATTTTCAAACTTTTTTCACAAATAAACCACGTGGGACTTTAAATGAAACACAACAGTGTGATGGGTGAGTGGTTTTGTTTGTTTGTTCGTTCACGGTGACTCTGGGCTTTGTTCAGTTGTGGCGTGTAGGGAGGGTGCTGTCTGGGACCAACGGATTGTCGTCGTGTTCGCAGTGACTCAGTTGTTCAGTCGTGTCTAGAAGTGGCACGTTGCACTCGCTTTTTCGGTTCGTTCCTTCCGTTCCGTTCCTCGTCGGCGTGGAGTGATGAGTGTGTCCGTGGGTGTTTTTCGCTGTGCGGTCGCTGTCTGCTCCGTGTGTGTTTGCGTGTTCTGCGGGTGGTGCGGCTTTGTAGTTTACTGAAGTCGTACTGGTACACCCGAGTGGATTCGTGTATGGGGCGCTCTGGATTGTGGCGTCATTTTTTGATGCGGTTAGAGGTTTAAGACCATGTCTAATCGTCTGTAAAATACTGTAGTTTTTGTAGACTCAAAACTTTTAATTTCATACATCTCAACTGCTTTTTGTTTGTTTATTTTCCTGTGTGTGACCTGGATGAACGTGCTGACGTCTTCTGTGTCGTCACGGTTCGCTTAGAAAAAAAGTTGTACTTTTCGGTTTCTGAACGCTCTGATTTCCGGCGTGAACACGTGAGTAGGTTAAACATTATGTGCGTTAACCGGCACCGGCACATTTCTCTGTCGGCCTGAAAACTCCCACTGTGAAACACTCCATTTGACGGAGCCTCCACCACAAAAGTTACACGATGCACGCAAGGGGGAAAAGTTGAAAAAACAAAGTGTTAAAAGTGTGTGTTCTGCGGGTGGTGCGGCTTTGTAGTTTACTGAAGTCGTGCTGGGACACCCGAGTGGATTCGTGTATAGGGCGCTCTGGATCGCTGATCGTTTTTTGATGGGGTTAGAGGCTTAAGAGCTCGTCTAATAGCCCGGAAAATACGGTACTTTGCAGTGACAGAATAGACCTTCTTCACAACAGCTCGCGTATTTTCCAGCAGCTTCATAAATCTGCCCCATCACCAAATTTTCATCCAACAAGGTCGACAAAGGATAAACATTCTAACATGAAGAATTTATCCACAACTATCACAGTAAGAAAGACGAAAACTTAAAGGAGAACAACAACGACACATTGGTGAACTACTCCTGAGCAAAACTAACATTACGGTCATGAATAAAACATAAGTAATAAGTAACTCATTAATAAGTAACTTGTTCACTCAGACTGATTCTAGAATTAAAATTCAAATAAAAAATCTATTTCATGATGTCGATATGAGAATAGATAGACAGATTTGTGCGGTTGGAATGCTACAGATGTTCAGAGTTACATGTTTAACATTTAAACTGCACAAATCTCTCTGTCTATGCAAATATCAACATCATGAAATCGATTTTAAAGTTTAATTGTAGAATCAGTCTGAGTGAACAAGTTACTAATGTTTTATTCATCACCATAACATTAGTTTTGTTCAGTGTGTCACTAATGCGTCGTTCGTTGTTCACCTTTAAGTTTTCGTCTTTCCTTATCCTTTGTGGACCTTGTTGGTTGAAGATTTGGTGATGGGGCAGATTTATGAAGCTGGTGGAAAATACGCGAGACATTTCTACAGATATTTTGCCATAAAAAAACATTAATGTAAGTGACGTTTACCCTACACCGCGGCACTTCCGGCTATTTTGAAGAAGGTCTTTTATGGCAGAAAGTTCAGTAGTTACCACGGTGACACAATTCACACCAAACACAGACAAAAAAGTTTTAAGATCTCAAGAAAAACTCAAGAAAGAAAGGGCTACAAAATGGATTCAAACAGCACATTTTCATAAAAATTTAAAACACAGTGGAGCACTTTGTGTATTACCACATGACATCACAAGGTCGAACATAGTGGGTTTTTTTCTGTTTCAGACAAGAACTCAGCCTAAATCTGTAGGGTTTGTGTGTTAAACATGTGTGAACGAAACAAAACACAACTCCAGGTCTGTTTGTGACGAGGAAACATTAAAACGCAGATCAGGAAATAGAGTAATGTGGGCCTTTTGAAGCTAATCTTGAGATGACTTTGTAAATGTCGAGTGGAGACACGTGTAATGATCTGGAGAATAATCAGGTTTATCAGCTCATTTGGTCTTTAATAAATGAAATGAGGAGTGTCTGACCTCCGGGACCCTGCACAAAGACAAAGTGAAGAGGATTTAAACACGTCAATACAGAGAGAGGAGCCCATACACCAAACACGGGCCACATACGGCTCTTTGGTCGACTCTGAGCTCATTTGGAATCAAAAGAAACATATTTAATCATTTTACCTCGTGCATGGACTAAAGCTGCATTGATTTTATTTTAGAGGGTTTTTTTTATGATATTTTTTGTAAGGCAGACTCACTTTTTCATTGATTAGTCATAACAAACTCTTGCCAGTCTGACCAGCTCGTCAAAACAATGATATTTACTGATTTTTATAAAGAAATACAATTAATATTATGCACAACTGAGTTAAGCATTTTGGCCCAGCCCTTCATAATATTTTCTGTTTCTCATCGAACTTTTACATTTGAGTTCACCTATATTTCCTACAGGTTTAAATTAAAAGTGCATTGTGTAACTTTTCTGCTTGACTCTGTATGTAGTTGTTATTGTTTTTCCCTGGACTGTTCTACAATATTGCATTTAATTTAACTATCTCCATGGAGACAAGCAGCCGCATCACCAGGCCAAGTTACAGGTCAGATCTGTGGAGATCTGAGTCCTGGTTCAGTTCTGGTTTAGTCCTGGTTTAGTCTTGGTTTGTTCTGGTTTAGTCCTGGTTTAGTCCTGGTTCAGTTCTGGTTTAGTCCTGGTTCAGTTCTGGTTTAGTCCTGGTTTAGTTCTGGTTTAGTCCTGGTTTAGTCTGGTTCAGTTCTGGTTTAGTCCTGGTTCAGTTCTGGTTTAGTTCTGGTTTAGTCCTGGTTTAGTTCTGGTTTAGTCCTGGTTCAGTTCTGGTTTAGTTCTGGTTCAGTTCTGGTTTAGTTCTGGTTTAGTCCTGGTTTAGTCCTGGTTTAGTTCTGGTTTAGTCCTGGTTCAGTTCTGGTTTAGTTCTGGTTTAGTCCTGGTTCAGTTCTGGTTTAGTCCTGGTTTAGTCCTGGTTCAGTTCTGGTTTAGTTCTGGTTTAGTCCTGGTTCAGTTCTGGTTTAGTTCCTGGTTTAGTCTTTCAGTTCCTGGTTTAGTCCTGGTTTAGTCCTGTTTTCGTTCTGGTTCAGTCCTGGTTTAGTCTTGGTTCAGTCCATGGCATATTCAGCGCAAAAGCTTTGATATAATCTTGGGTTAACGGGCGGGTGCGGGCAGGTGCTGGCAGGTGCTGGCAGGTGCGGGCGGGTGCGGTGCTGTACTGCGCAGGTGCGAGTCTCCAGAAATGGGACTCTGCGCTGTTGGGCTCCTTTACAGAATAAATGAATCTTCGGTTCGTTACATAAAGAAGGAGGAAAATAACAAAAGGACGACAACAGCGATAAGTTTTAAGAAGGATGTAAAAAGGTTTGAACCTGTTCTGCATGAGAAAAGTGTACAAAGTGTGCGGTGAGGGGATTTACAGACTTAAAACAGATAAAATAATTGTAAAATATAAAGCTGAATACTTTGCGGATTTCACCTATCGCGGTTATTTTTAGAACGTAACCCCCACGATAAACGAGGGACCACTGTATTTCAAATTAATTTGAAACGGTTGAATAAAAAATAAGGCTAAATCATGGCTGTGATACTAAAAGTCTTTGGTAAACTACTTTTTGTTCTTGTGCAAAATTCATATGAAACCACCCATTTTAATCACCAAAACAGTGAAAATGTCAAATGTGTTGCATAAATGACTTTCCTTCCTCTGAACGAGCAACGAAACTGTAGCTGAAACTAAATAATTCAGTAAAATACACCGAAAAATACTCTTGGCGATATATCGATACAGCAGCCCACGATATCGATACTGTATCATCACATTAAACGATAAAATATATTGATAATTCGATATTTTTGCACACCACTACATAGTGCACCTTTAAATTAAGGCATTTTAAGGTAATAGGTAAATGTTCAGGTGCAGAATCCTTATTGATATTGACTGTCTGAAGCTCTGTTACTCAATTTAGAATTTAATCTGATCTTTATTTTAATACAATGACCAGAAAGAACTGACTTATGTGGAAGTACAGGATCACGAACGCTGGCTCCTAAAAATGTGGTCTTTAAATCCATTTTGTATTTCTTCTTGAGTTTTGAGAAAATCTTAAAACTTTTTTGCCAGTGTTTTTCTT